ATACCCCTTGGAGCCTGCACTGGTGTAAATAGCACTTAAATTCATTTTAGAAAGTAATGATTATTCTTAAACTAAATTATTAATACTTTGTAAGGTATTAGCCTGAGGGTGGGTTTATTTGTTTGGGTTTGTTGGTTGGATTTCTCTGGGAAGAAGGAGGCTGGGGTGGCTTTTGTTCTTAAGACTGCATTTTTAGTCTTTACTCTGCACTAAGTCTTGGTAGCTAAATAAATAATACAAGGCAAGTGTCACTGTAATAAATGAGAGTATTTATGATTAGACACATCTCCCAGCCATGCAGAGCTGGGAAGCTCATCTTAAGGGTCTCTTTTGCTTCTGAATCTTCATCTCGCCGCAGGATCTGCACAGGGGCTAGGACTGTTCCAGTGCAAATAGCAAACAGGGGAAAGAAGAAGATGAAATGAAGATGGATGAAGGTTAAATCCAAAAGATTGTACAGGTATTCAGCTTCGGTCCTACAAATCTACTCCTCAGTATATCTAGTAAGGGACAAAGGCCAAAAAGAAAGACTCTAAAATATTAGGTTGAGGGGCAGGGGGTTCTTCCTTTCATGTAAATAACTCTTTCCATAAACTTCCTTTTTATTAGTCTTTCAATATTTTATTAATAATTTTTCTCAATAAATGCGATAGCACCTGAAAAGGACACCTGAGGTGAATGCACACATGATGACTGGAGGTTCAACCTTTTACATCTACAGATCTCAAGAGAGGAAGCCATTCATAACAAGGCTGGTGTTTTTGCACCATCTCCCATCTCCTAGGCCCCCACAACAGCACCATTCCCACAGCAAGCATGTTTCTCCAAGATCACTTGTTTTAGGCTTACCAAAACTCCACCTCAGAGGGTGGTGATGTGAGAGTCACTTATGCTACCCCCACCACCCACCCACATTGCTATTTTACATGCTAGTGTGTATCCATCAACCTGAGTTGGAAAGCACACTCATAGCTGCAATGTAGATGTATCCCAAGTTTCAGTCAAACTTTTTTACTGGCACATTCTTGGCAGCCCCCCCCCCCCCCCCACACAAAAGAACT